CCCGGCCCAGCTCGGCTCGGCAAGTTCATCGTCGCAGCGACACCGGTGATTATGAACGATGCGATATGCGTGCGCGATATTACGAGGGAGCCATTGGCCACGGCTACGGCTACGTGTATATCAGGTTCGAAATGCGTGACACGTTTAATTAAAATCCTGCGTGATTTACTCCGCCGCACAGAGTGTAAACGAAAGAGACGGAGCGAGATTCGCGGCGGGAGGAAGAGGGACACCCCGGCGACACTGCCGGGAACGATGAAAAAGAGAACGAAAGGCCGAACGAAAGAGAAGGAGGGAACACCGGAGGAAAGGAGAGAGAGAGACGGTATGACAGGATGGGAGGGGGCGGTCGGGGGTAGCGAGAACAGAGAGAGAGAGAGAGAGAGAGAGAGAGAGAGAGAGAGAGCACCGTGTACACGGACGAGAGATGGGAGAGAAAGAGAACTCGTGACACTCTGTGGCTGCGTTGAGTTCGACTCACGTAGTAAGTACTCAATTCGCGATGAAATATCGCGTCGACCATCGCCATGCGGACGATCATAACGGGTTGCCCGCACTTGGCCGGCTGCTGCACGCAACTTCCGCTTTCGGTGCTCGCTCTTTCTCTCTCCGTCTCTCTCTCTCTTTCTCTAACACCCCCACTCGCGCCCCCACCCTCTCTCCTTTTTCCTCTTTTCCGCTTTCGACCGATCCACCTCCCCCGCCGACTGTTCCTCTCTCTACCTCTCTCCCTCTCTCTCTCTCTCTCTCGCACTCTCAATCTCCATGCTCTCCCGTTTGGTTACACACGACGCGAAAAAGAGGAAACAAAACGAAACGGCAAATCGAACGAGATGAAATTTATTAGCAACCTTCCACGGTACAATGCCCTTAATAAGGTAGAATTTAAATCGAACCTCGCGGATTCGTGCGTAGCGCGCGACAAACGATCGTTGCATATTTTCCGGTATTAGCGTTCCAGTGGCTGTCCCGAGAGATAATTAAGAATCAATCGACCGGCGGATAAGAAATGCCGCGCGCAATCACCGCGCGCTGGATTCCTCGATTAAGGGGGCACCGCGCGGCGTTCGAGTTCTGCACGTAGCCGCGTACAAACACACGCGTTTCGCCTCGCAACGCGAGAGCGTGCGGGAGCAACGGCAAAAGCAACAGCAAAAGTTAAGAGCAAGAGCAAGAGCGCGCGAGTACTTTTCCATTAATTACGGTCAACGATTTATAGCTCGAACGAAACAAATTATATCGATAATACTCGAGATCCTTTGACCGTCCAGGTTCGAGCAATCGGGTACGCGCACCGACTACCGCGGCCAACGCAATTAATTTTCTACTTCCTCGAAGACATCGGTCATGCATCGTACATACGCGAGCCACGGCCACGATTAATGGTATAGGATCGCGCCGTACCCGCCGGGGATCTCGATTAGAATTAATGTCACCGGTGTACCTATCGATGGGAGGCGATGCCGCGGTCAGAATCTCGCGTCTTTCCGCGCGATCGCTGAATTCGCGACGGCTGAAATCGCAGCGCTCCTCGGACCGGAGATTTACGGGCAGGAAGGCCGCGGAGAGGATGTCACGGATTTCGATGGCGGCTCCGCGAGGAGAACCCGCTTCTCTTGGTTTTAATTACTTCTTTATAACCGCTGCCTTGTTTATCAAGTACCGCCTTTTACCAGACTGCGGATCTTTACGCAAAATAAAGATTGTCTAGGTTAATTGTAACAAAAAAAAGAAACATAAGTTAGGTGAAAACGTTTCTTCACTTTCGATAGCCGTAACAAGTTGAACAAGATGTATCGATATTTTTGAATTCTTCCAATTCCATCACAGCATCGTATTCGATCTATCCATTTTTCTCATAAATTCGTACGTTTTTGAAGGGCGAGTCAAGGATTACGTTATCGATACTTCTTCAAGAACAAAACAATAGCGACTAGACAAACGATCTCAGTAAAAACCATGATTTCCGTGGAAACACCCCCAATTAGGGAGACTGTATATAATACAGCGTATACTGTACACAGTAATCTTGTAGCGTATGTATAACATTTACAAAAAATCGATCTACACTGGCATCCTAATCTATCAGGAAATCCATCCTACTAGTCTCAGTCTGTCTCTTATACACATCTAGATGTGTATAAGAGACAGGTACACAGTAATCTTGTAGCGTATGTATAACATTGACAACACAGCGATCTACACTGGCATCCTAATCTATCAGGAAATCCATCCTACTAGTCTCAGTCTGTCTCTTATACACATCTAGATGTGTATAAGAGACAGGTACACAGTAATCTTGTAGCGTATGTATAACATTGACAACACAGCGATCTACACTGGCATCCTAATCTATCAGGAAATCCATCCTACTAGTCTCAGTCTGTCTCTTATACACATCTAGATGTGTATAAGAGACAGGTACACAGTAATCTTGTAGCGTATGTATAACATTGACAACACAGCGATCTACACTGGCATCCTAATCTATCAGGAAATCCATCCTACTAGTCTCAGTAACTGGTCCAAAATTTTGCTATGGACCTAGGTGGACCAGTTACTGAGACTAGTAGGATGGATTTCCCGATAGATTGGCGGTATAATACCTCCGTGACGCGTTTCCGCGGCGGAACAGCGCCGGTACGTACCTGCGTAACTGTGACTCCGTTTTCGCCGCGTAAGCGCAGTCCTGGCATCGGTATCGTCTGTCGGACGCGCTGCTCTCGTGCACCAAGCTGCGATGGGACCGCAATTCGGAAGCCGTGCGGAGCACCGTTGGACAGCCCGGAAGTCCGCACTTGTACTTTTTCCCGGCGTGGCGCAGCATGTGTTGACGGAGAGCGTGCCTGCAAAGCCGGGAGCAAACAACACGATTTTTAGATCCAGCCTAGCTCTCCCGGAAAATCTCTCTGTCCGCGCGCAGTCTCGCGGGCAGGCCTGTATGCAACGTTTCCGAGTATGTAATTTTCGGCACGGCCGGACAACGCGATGGTCCCCGAGGCCGGCGCGCGACCATCGGCCGTGTACGCGGCGCGTTCGCACGCCGCACGATCCGATCGCAGCTGTTGCATGCTATATCAACCTGCCGCATGCCGGCGAGCGCACACGCTCAGCGCAGAAGAGCCGCACTTTAAATAGTTTCTGTCAAGAGGTGACGATCTATACGGTTAGTGAACTCTCGCTCCCGGCACGTCGGCCGGCTCTGTACGGCCCTTGGTACTATGTTCTTTGACGGCCGTTCCGCGAGTTTCGTTTTACGCTCTCTCGATATCGCGGCCGGGTCTCCCCGGGCCCCGGGGACGGCTGCACGCGCGCGCGTGCTACGGCTCGCCCGGAAAGAAGATGACGCGTGCAACGAGAAGAGCCCCGGTGCCTGGACAGGGCCGGCAAGGCCGCGGGGAGCCGGTAATACACCGGCAACGCTCGGGACTCCTATAAAACCAAACGAAAGCTCGTCGATGTTATCGAAATCGGCAGCAAATTTCCGAACGTGGTAGCCACGATCTTCGGCCGCGTATCTCCCGGGCCCTGTTCCCGAGATCTTCGCCACGGCGAGCGTGGTCACCGTGCGGGAAACCTACCGCGGTAGCAGACCGAAGGACACGCCACGGATTTTTCGAGATGGCAGCTCGACGATACCGGCAAACTCCGCGAACCCGCGCAACCGATCGGACGGAGAACGAATCGTGGGAGAACGAAGGACGACCGATCCGAGAAAAAGAGGACGGACGCGACGAGGGGGCGGGCGGGGGAGAAAGAGGACCGTGCGGATGGAATCGAACGGAACGGAACGGAATAGAATGGAACGGCAAAGGATGCCGAGGAACGGAGTGGAACGGACAGGAAGGGAGCCGAAAGGAGAGAACAAGAGAGAACGGAGAGGAGGAAGATCGGGAGCAGAAGAGGCTACGGGGTCTGGGCCGTCCTAGAGGGAGCCCCGGCCTACCCAATTGGCTACGCAAGTGTAACGGCAACTTTTACAATGTCAGGATATACACGCCCTCGCACGAGCTTCGGACGTACCCTCTCGTACCCTGTACACCTGCGTCCAGGTAGTCTCGGCAACGACAACGTTCCCCAGCCGTCCCGCCGATGTGTCCAGGCTAGACCGTGGCTACTATGCCGGAATCGTGTGGCCATATTCGGCAAAACTTACCCCTTCGAAACAGAGGGATTATCAGCGGTCTCTGCTTTCTACAGAAAATTGTTAACCGGCTCGCTGACAGTCCGAAAGAGACAGAGGTCGTTAACTTCCATTCGAGTAATCCGAGCATCCGATTCTACGGCTCAAGATTCGTCAACGCTGACCGAATAAATGGAATATGATCCTACTCGGAAATACTCGCGGCGGAAGGGTGGACTTCTTCGTCCAGGACATTGGAGGCTTTTAACATGTTAGGTTTACGGAACCCGCCGAAACGACGGCTCACTGATTTCTTCGTTTACGATTTGAAGATCGTCGGATTGTGAAGATACATTCGCGAGTTATTTATTCAACGTATATGTGGTACTTGCGGCAAGTATTGCAACGACACTCGTTCGATATAAAAAAAACGTCTTATTGTTACGTTTATATACCGATATAAAACAGCTGCTTTCACACAGAGCACCGTGAGTCTAGCGTTGAGAAACATGTCGGCTGGTCCTTCCGTCTTCGCTCAAACACTGCAGTAATGTCTCCCTAATTGACACTTAGATTGTGCAGAAAAATGGACAATTTGGGAAGAGGAGATACGATTATTCGAGCCTTGTGGCTCGTTTTTATAATTATCGACGATTTGTAACTATAAAAACAAAACCGCAACGCTCGAATAATCGTATCTCCTCTTCCACAAATTGTCCAATTTTATGAGCGTCAATTAGAGCGTCAATCCGATCGTCAATTAGAGAGACATTACTGTACTTACTATATTTCGACAAATATAGTGTTGCCTCCTATCATGGAAGATCTATCAGCTGGGATGTCCGGCGGAGAGGAGGGGGTAGGTCCCACCATGTATAATTGTTGACAATTCGTAACTATAAAAACCGAGCCGCGAAACCCGAATAATCGCATCTCCTCTTTGCAAATTGCCATTTTCCTGCACAATCTGAGCGTCGGTTAGGGAGACATTACCGTAGTTCAGCAATGTTTGCAATGCACGTTTCTATCACGCGTGCATCGGTTGAACCAATGGGCCTACGGTCCCCGTTAATCTTTAACAAGTAAATAAACGAATAAGTCTCCACTTCCCGCGATGCTCGCGATCCGCGAGCTCGATCGCATTTTTCCCAAAAAACCAAGCTTCGAGAATAGGATATTCGAGCTGGACCCAGGTCGAAGAGCCGACTCTCGTTGCTCGGCGGGCCATTAATCGGGCCGGACAAGTTACCCGGTCGCTCGAACGCGAATACGTAGCGACGTCTACGTTATGTATACGCGGCATCGGCAACTTCCGCAAACGAATATTTCCTCGTTGCGTTTCGTCGTGCTCTCGGGAAAGGCGGGATGAGGAGGAGGAGGAGGAGGAGGAGGAGGAACGGACTGGAGAGATTACCGGCATTCCCGGAATGCAACGAAAGAGAGGCGTATCCGCGTTGAACGTTCGTTCGATGAACGCTAACCGGCGATGTAACCGTGATCCCGAGGCTCCGAGCACGGCGAACGCGTACCCGTAATTGCTCTGAATTATGACGTCCGAGGCATTCAGCGACAACGGTTTTCCGGCGGATTCGTGTCCCGATAAAAAAGGATATTAATAGGACGTATTATATTCAATTGCAGTTTCTCACGCGGCAGACGTCGCGGCGGACGAGGCAACGCTCGCGATCGGCACGGAATGTAGACGCGCGACGGCCGAGAATGCTCTCGGCCGNCGGAAATACTCGCGGCGGAAGGGTGGACTTCTTCGTCCAGGACATTGGAGGCTTTTAACATGTTAGGTTTACGGAACCCGCCGAAACGACGGCTCACTGATTTCTTCGTTTACGATTTGAAGATCGTCGGATTGTGAAGATACATTCGCGAGTTATTTATTCAACGTATATGTGGTACTTGCGGCAAGTATTGCAACGACACTCGTTCGATATAAAAAAAACGTCTTATTGTTACGTTTATATACCGATATAAAACAGCTGCTTTCACACAGAGCACCGTGAGTCTAGCGTTGAGAAACATGTCGGCTGGTCCTTCCGTCTTCGCTCAAACACTGCAGTAATGTCTCCCTAATTGACACTTAGATTGTGCAGAAAAATGGACAATTTGGGAAGAGGAGATACGATTATTCGAGCCTTGTGGCTCGTTTTTATAATTATCGACGATTTGTAACTATAAAAACAAAACCGCAACGCTCGAATAATCGTATCTCCTCTTCCACAAATTGTCCAATTTTATGAGCGTCAATTAGAGCGTCAATCCGATCGTCAATTAGAGAGACATTACTGTACTTACTATATTTCGACAAATATAGTGTTGCCTCCTATCATGGAAGATCTATCAGCTGGGATGTCCGGCGGAGAGGAGGGGGTAGGTCCCACCATGTATAATTGTTGACAATTCGTAACTATAAAAACCGAGCCGCGAAACCCGAATAATCGCATCTCCTCTTTGCAAATTGCCATTTTCCTGCACAATCTGAGCGTCGGTTAGGGAGACATTACCGTAGTTCAGCAATGTTTGCAATGCACGTTTCTATCACGCGTGCATCGGTTGAACCAATGGGCCTACGGTCCCCGTTAATCTTTAACAAGTAAATAAACGAATAAGTCTCCACTTCCCGCGATGCTCGCGATCCGCGAGCTCGATCGCATTTTTCCCAAAAAACCAAGCTTCGAGAATAGGATATTCGAGCTGGACCCAGGTCGAAGAGCCGACTCTCGTTGCTCGGCGGGCCATTAATCGGGCCGGACAAGTTACCCGGTCGCTCGAACGCGAATACGTAGCGACGTCTACGTTATGTATACGCGGCATCGGCAACTTCCGCAAACGAATATTTCCTCGTTGCGTTTCGTCGTGCTCTCGGGAAAGGCGGGATGAGGAGGAGGAGGAGGAGGAGGAGGAGGAACGGACTGGAGAGATTACCGGCATTCCCGGAATGCAACGAAAGAGAGGCGTATCCGCGTTGAACGTTCGTTCGATGAACGCTAACCGGCGATGTAACCGTGATCCCGAGGCTCCGAGCACGGCGAACGCGTACCCGTAATTGCTCTGAATTATGACGTCCGAGGCATTCAGCGACAACGGTTTTCCGGCGGATTCGTGTCCCGATAAAAAAGGATATTAATAGGACGTATTATATTCAATTGCAGTTTCTCACGCGGCAGACGTCGCGGCGGACGAGGCAACGCTCGCGATCGGCACGGAATGTAGACGCGCGACGGCCGAGAATGCTCTCGGCCGCGAAACGCGAGATCCGCGCGACGAGCCGCGCGCGTTCGTTCGGTCCTCGACCGCCGCCTCGCGTTTCGCTATCGAGCGGGTTGCGATTTGCCTAAAAATCTATCGGACGAACGGTGGTCGCCGCGTCGCGTCGTCGACGCCGACGAGACACGGCCCGGGGCCGGGGACCGAGAGGGCCGGTTGAATTATTGCACGGAGAAATCCGGTGCTGTCTCGGCCCATTCCGGGGGATTGGAATTCCGATAGAACAATATTAATATGGTTACGGCGACAAAAGCGCGTCGAGCGGCGTTTCGACGTTGACGAAAGGAAGGCGAAAGGCGAAAGAGGGGGGGGTGGGAGCGCGGGGAACGGTCTCCTACGGTTTCTCTCCGGCGTGTGTTTCGGTGGAATGTCGCAGGCGTGACAAGAGGCCGTTAAGAAGAGAGTCTCGGGCCGATTGGGCAAGCGGATGCGGTCACTCCGGAT